TACTTGATTTATAGGTTACTAAAATAATTTATCTTCCAAAACTAAATTCTTTTTTTTGAAGAATTTTAAAATTTGTTTTTATGTGTATGAATGTTAAGCCTGCATGTGTGCAAGTGCACCCATGTCGTGCAGTACCTGCAAAGTGCAGAAGAGAGCGTCGGACCCCTTAGAACTGGAGTTATAGATGATTTTTAACTACCGTGTGGGTGCTGGGATTCAAACCCGTCTTCTGCAAGAGCAGCCAGTGCTCCTAACTGCTGAGTCATCTCTCCAGCCCCCCAAAACTAAATTCTTATAAATTTAATTTGCCAAGACAGTTGTGTGAAAATGCTGTCTTTATTGTTTATTTATTCAAATAATCTTTTCTTTGGAGGTTTTAATAGTTGTATAAACCTACTGCCAGTGTTATTTGTGTTTCATATTTTTATTGTTATTATGCATGTGATTTTTTTCTTAAACGATATTTTCTTTGGAATGCCACTGAACTTTTATATTCATATTTATGATTCCACTCTAGTAACTTATTATCCCCTGAATCATATCCTAATACATTAGCCAGGGCTTTCTGAGCAATATTAAATAAAAATGGTGATAAATGGTAATCCTTGTGTATTTATAAATTGAATGTAACAAAAAGTATGGTGCCGTGACAGCTGGTACAACCAAAGTGAATTTTTCCAATTGTCTAAGGAAGGGCTTCTAGGATATATGATATGGACTGCGTTCTTTAGTGTGTGAGCACCATTGTGTTGGGTGTGTGAAGGAATCTACTAAAGTAATTTCTGTTTTCTAAAAATCTTAAAATATGGCTAGAGGATTAGTAATGACTTGTAAAAGCATTTCTGAATCTGTATTCAACTTTATGTGATATTTGTTATTTTTTAGAGTCCTGGCTAGCCTGCTGATCCTTCTGACTCTACTCCACCACCACCATCCAGTGGTGAGATTAGAGATCTGAGCCATGACACCTGGCCCTCTTGTAATTAGTTGGTAAATGCATTTGTAGGAATTCAGAGTTTAGAGAGATCTTCATAGACCTGATTATTGTGTGTGTGCACACATGCATGTGCGTGTCTGTACATGTGCATGTGAAGGCTAGAGGACAACCTTGAGTGTTGTTCCTCAGGCACCATCCACCTGGATTTGTGAGACAGGGTCTCTCACTGGCCTGCAGCTCTTTAAGTAGGCTAGGCTGGCTGGCCAATGAATCCCAGGGGTCCACTTGTCTTTGCCTCCTTAGTGCTGGGATTATAGGCATGCACCACTTTGTCTGACTTGTATGTGGGTTACAGGTTCAGGTCCCAGTCAGGTGTGATGGCATCTGACTTTTAATCTCAGCACTTGGGAGACAGAGGGAGGCAGGTAGATCTCAATGGGTTTGAAACCAACCTGATCTATATGGCAAGTTCCAATCTAGCCAGGTACATGTAGTGGGACTCTGTCTCAAAAACAAACAAACAAACAAATCAACGAAAACTTGGGTTCTTATGCTTGCATGGCTGACAACTCTATAAATAGAGCCATTTCACCAGTCCAGGCTGTGCTATGTGATGATGTAGGACCAGAACAAATTAGAATTGCCCAGTTATTGTAAATGGAGCATAGACGTGAGATAATTTCAATGTTTAGAATAACATCTTGCAAGTTTTTCCCTCTGTTAAAGAAGTGACCAAACTTTGGTATGAATAGAATTCTCTTGTGAATCCAAAATACTCAATCTATAGTGACTTTGACATAGAACATTTATTATCATTTGTTATCTTATTGTTGTTGTGAATTTTATTTACTGGCATTGTCTGTTTTTGATGTTTTATGACTTCATACAGGGTTTTTTTTTTTCTGGTTCTTAGAATTCTTATACTTAAATTCTGTTTCTGCTCTATTTAGGATCCATGGGTGGAATTGAATTTATTGATTTAACAAAAACAAAATTGAGAAGTATCAGCCTTACCTTACATTCTATAGAATAAAACAGAAAGGGCTTAATACTGAATGGTGCCACTTCATATGTATTATTTTAAAATATACATTTACTTTTACCTTTACTGCTTTTAAAAACCAGTATCATCTTACTTAAAATAAAATAACAGTTTTATCTTATGGGCCTATTTGGCAAGGATAATGTGCCATTCTCCCTTCTCAAGTTTCATACAGTTTCTAACTTTAGTTTTTAACTTGTCTTAAAAATGAGCCTGGTGTGGGGGGCTCAATGGGGAAAATATTTGCCACTTAAGAATGAGAACCTGAGCTCAGAACCTCTCAGCACCTATGTAAAAGCTGGGTGAGTGGCTGTAACCCTAGGCTGTGGGTGCAGACATAAGTGATTCCTAGAGCTTGCTGGCCAGACAGTCTAGACCAGTCAGTAAGCTCTGAGTTCAGTGAGAGACTGTCTTAAAAAATAAGGTAAGGGCTGGAGAGATGGCTCAGCAGTTAAGAGCACCAACTTCTTGCAGAGAACCGGGGTTTGGTTCCCAGCACCCACATGGCAGCTAACAACCATCTGTCACTCCATTTCTAGAAGATCTGATGCCCTGTTCGGGCCTCTGCAAGCATCGCATGACACAGATGCATTTACATACATGCATGCAAAACACTCATACACATAAAATTTTTTTAATTAAAAAAAAAGGAAGTAGAGAGTGTTAAAGGAAGATGCCCACTGTCAACCCCTGCCCCCCATGCACACACACACACACACACACACACACACTCACTCACTCACTCACATATACACCTCCTACACACATTGAAAAATGAAATTTCAAATCATTTATGTTTCTTTGGTCAAATACTAGTTCTGCTTTGTGTGTGCTGTTGTTAGAAGCAGGTGATCCTCTAGTTACCTGCTCCTGAACAAGTCCCCAACACAACAGTAGTGAACTGACTTTGGACACTGTGGGCCAAGAATCACCCGATTCTGCCCTCCCAGCCATGCACACCCCCCTGTTCTTTGGTTGAGAATCTTCAGTCAGTCTTTAGGGACACTTTGACCTCATCATATATGATGTATGATGTAAAGCTTGCTGCCCAATATTACACATGCAGTGATCAAAGTCCAGACCAGGCCCTGTCATCAAAGAGCTCCTTGCCCAGTAGAATCCATACCTGTGAAAAGCAGAACTTTATTTGACAATTTCGTTTTTAAAAATTTATTTTCATTTATGTATGTCTGTATGTGTCTCCTGTGTGTGTATGCCGTGTGTGTACTGGTCCCCACAGAGGCCAGAGCAGGGTATTAATTAAATCCCCTGGAACTAGAGTTATTAGCAGTTGTGAGATGCCCAGTGTGGGTGCTGGGAACCAAACTCAGGTCTTCTGCAAGAGTAGTACGTGCTCTTACTTTTTGAGACAGAGTTTCCTTGTATCCCCAGCTGGCCTGGAACTCACTATGTAGACCAGGCTGGCCTCGAACTCACAAAGATCCGCTTGCCTCTGCCTCCCAAGTGCTGGGATTAAAGGTGTGCACCACCACGCCCAGCCTTCTCATTGACTTTTTTTAAAAAAGTATTGATTGGTTTTTAGAATTTTGCACATGTATGCCATGTATACTAACCACTCTCACTTCCTACCACCCTGCCTCCCCTCCCCACAACTTCACATTCACGGTTATTCCTTTTGTTTTGTGACCCATTGAGATTAACCAGGGCCACCTGTGTGACCATGGGTTTTGAACTATCCATGGGAGCCTGTGGGCTCAGCAGTAGGTGTACAACTAAAGATAGGGATTCCCTCTCTCCCAGAATCTATCAGTAGTCAATACTTGAGAGGCAAAGGATAGAGCCTGGTGAGGCTCTCCCCATTCTTTGACGGAATGTTGATAGGGCTGGTCCTGTGTGGGCCCAATTCAGTTGTTGTGAAATGGTTATATCAAGTCTAGAGAATGGCCATCCCCTCTTCTGCAATGTTCCTGAGAAGTTAGTAAGGCTGGTAAAAGTGACTTGTTTAGGACTGGGTCCACAACTGTTACTTAATTTTCTGCATCTTGGGAAGCCATGGGCTTCTGCATTCGTTGTCATTCACTGTAAGGAGAGACTTACTGGTTGACTTTTAAGCCTGTTTTCCATCACCATCCTTTGCCCCTTGACTCTTTGCTGATGGTTTTATTTCCTTGTGAGATATTCTAAACGTAGCATCCTGCATCATGGTGAGTCTTTCACATGGCCCTCACCTGTATTGCATTCTTTTTCTTTACAGTGTCTGTAATAGCTCATGAGACTTGAAATCTGCCTTCTGTATTCCATTGTCACTAACGTCCCCAATTTTTGCCACTCCCACCGCCAGTTTCAGCCCTTCCTTCTAGGTGACTGAATCCTCTGACTTCCTCAGGTCCCATTGCTAAGTGTGAAATTTGAAGTTGGGTTCTCTCTCTTAAGAGGTGCATGGACTTCAAGGGCTGCTCATTACCTCAGAATACAATCGATGCAGAATACGTTCCTAACTTTCTTCCCCTAGCTGTCTCTCTTCATTTCCTTAGTGTCCTCCAGACAGAAGGAGCTATTTTTCTCACAGGTTTTCATACCCCATGGCTTTGTCCTGTTCTCATCTCTTCGTGCGTTTAGAGCCTTCAGCTTTCAGCAGAGACGCTGCTGTTTTCCCAGCATTGTCTCCAGGCCAGCCCGAAATGATTGCTCTTCAGATCTTCTAGCCATCTCTATGTCTTATGGCATATGCTTCTTTTGTTTCTATCATATGTTGTTATGTACACATTTCATCATAGAGTGTGGCAGGGCTGGCTCTGTTTCGTCTCTCTATTTCTTAGCATGAGGCTTAGTGCCTCACACATCCAGGGTCTCAGGAGATGAATGCTAAAGCTGATACCATGTAGTTGGTTTTGTTAATGTTGCCATCAGTGTTCACCTGCTGTCAAAGGCTGTACCAAAAATGCCCAGCATTTGCCTGACATTTGATCATTTCTAATGCACTGGTGACCATAGTCATCAGCCATATGTGACAGAGTGCTTTGTGAATAACAAGACTCTTTTTTTTTTATTTTTGGGCAGGAGACTCAGATGAGAGGGAACAATCAAAATTGGAAGTTAAAGTTTGGGATCCCAATAGTCCACTTACGGATCGACAGATTGACCAGTTTTTAGTTGTAGCTCGGTGAGTATCCAATTATCAAGTCATGTCTTTGTATGAAAGAACTTGTTCTAGTTTGTTTCTCCATTGCTGTGACAAAATACTCTGATCAAAACCAGTTTAGGGAGGAAAGGGTTTGTTTTCACTTAAATCTCCTGGGTCACAGTTCATCATTGAGGGAGCACAAGGTAAGAACTCAAGACAGGAACCTGAAGGCAGAGAGCTGAAGCACGGGCCCTGGAGGAATGCTGCTTACTTTCTTGCTCCTCTGGCTCATGCTCAGCTTGCTTTCTTATACAACATTGCCACCTGCCCAGGAGTGGCATTACCCACAGTGTACTGGGCCCTCCTACATCACTCAGTAATCGAGAAGATGCCCCACAGACATGGCCACAGCCCAGTCCAATGGAGGCAATTTGCCAATTGAGGCTCCCTCTACTCAGGTGTGCCAAGTTGACAATTAAAGCTATAAATATGTATATTTCCTTTCTTTTTAAAGATTTTTTTTAATGTGTATGAGTATTTGCCTGTATTTATGTAAGTGAACCACATGCATGCCTAGTGCTGTCAGAGGCCACCATCAGATCTCCTGAACTGGAGTTACAGATGATTGCGAGCCTACGAGCCACCATGTGGGTGCTGGGAACTAAACCTGGGTCCTCTGCAAGAGCAGCCAGTGCTCTTAACCACCGAGCCATCTCTCCAGCTCCTATTTCATTTCTTTGTATTCTACTTTCCCTACTATTGATTGTATTATTCTTTTTTCTAGTCATGTAAGAAAATTCAATATATGGTCACATTGTCTCCTAAATAATATGATTTACTTTCATTAATTTTTGTTATAAATGAAAATAGATTTATTAATTTTAACTGAATGTGGAAGCAAGTGTTGGGGTTGTAGCTTAATGCTAGAGTGTTTGCCTAGCATGCACAAGGTCCTTTTCTCAATACTGCAGAAAACCATAGACAACAATGATCAAAAGATGTGCTTCAAATCGGTAAATGAAATTTTTTACAAAAAGAAGAAATTGAACACCTGATGCCTGATCTTTAATGAAAGAAATGCCTTTTATTCTGGACATTGCTTCCTCAAGTGCCAGAAGAAATATGCTACTCCAATCCGATGTGAGCGCCTATACCTATAATCCCAGCACTTGGGAGGTGGAGACAAAATGATCAGGAATTCAGAGTCAGCCTGGGCTACAAAGTGATTTGAGGCCAGCCTGGCTATATGAGACCCAGTCTCAAAAAACAAAAGGAGGGACGGAGAGAGGGGAAGAGGGAGAGGGAGAGATAGAGATAGATATCTGTGTATGAGTAAGGCCTGATGCTAGCCCAGAGTTTTTCTTTAAGAGCTTTCAGCTTGACTGCAATGAGTGGTTGCAGGATTTTATTTTTGAAATTATAAAAGTAAATGATAGCCAGCCGTGGTGGTCCACGCCTTTAATCCCAGCACTCCGGGAGGCAGAGGCAGGTGGATCTCTGTGAGTTCAAGGCTAGCCTGGTCTACATAGTGAGTTCCAGGACAACTGGGGCTACAGGAAGACCCTGTCTCAAAAAGACCAAAAAAAAAAAGTAATGCTCACATGGGAAAAGTGCCACAAAAGAGAGTGTGAAATGAGCATAACATTCTAACAATGGATGAGTTAGAAAAAAGCCTGAATGGACATCCAGAGGCAACTGATGAATGAAATGAGCTATACTCATACAGTGGGGTGTTGCTTCACTTCAGTTAAAATGAGACAAGTGAAATTCTAGGTAAGAGAGATGAATCCCCAAATATTGAAGGTCCATACAAATGATGGTTTATGTGTACACACTGTACCCATTTATAAAAAAAAAGTCATGCAACTAGAAAACAGTGTTTTGTTTCCTTAATGATTATATATCGTATATTGTGGATATGAAACACTAACCAAATTTATAATGTTTATTTCCTGAAATGAACCAAACATGGAAAAATATTAGAATCAGTTCAACTTGGGTGCCAGGGTCTCCCATTATGATATTCTCTGATTTTTCTTCTGAAAACAGTGTTAGCCTATCTTTAGACCACACTGTCTATGAGGACAGTCACCAGAGAAGGTCAGACTGTATTGGTGGCCACGCACTTGGAATGCAGAGCCCCCACACCTAACAACTAAGTGATTGAATTAAGGCACTCGGTGTACGTTGTTGGGCAACAGCCAGTCAGTGGAGCCGAGGAGGGGAAGATGCAGCTGAAAATGAGCCATCAGCGGAACCCTTGGCCTAGACCCTCAAGGAGAGCTTTCTTAATGGCCCGACTGTTAGCGAAACACAGTTTTCAAATTTGATTTGTATTCTGGTTTTTCCTTTTTCTGATTGCTATATGTTTTCCATTTCTTTGAAACCAGAATGAGAGTCTTTTAAGGAATTATAATTAGCATCTTTTTAAAAAAGTATTTTATTTATTATTACTTTATGTTAAGTGGAGCTGAGGAGTGGAAGATGCAGCTAAAAATGAGCCATCAGCGGAACCCTTGGCCTAGACCCTCCAGGAGAGCTTTCTTAATGGCCCGACTGTTAGCGAAACACAGTTTTCAAATTTGATTTGTATTCTGGTTTTTCCTTTTTCTGATTGCTATATGTTTTCCATTTCTTTGAAACCAGAATGAGAGTCTTTTAAGGAATTATAATTAGCATCTTTTTAAAAAAGTATTTTATTTATTATTACTTTATGTGTATGTGTGTATTGCCTGCATGTAAGTGCATCTGTGTTGCGCAGTGCCCGAGGAGGACAGAAGAGGTTGTGGGATCCCCTGAGACTGGAGTTTCCGACAGTTGTCAGCTGCC